AAGCAAAAAGAAATACTAGACCTACCTTTTCAGGACCTGAGCAAAAATTGTGTTTTTTAAACCTAAAAATACAAATCATCATGCAAAACTTACCCTTATTATCATTAATATTATTATTATTATTATTATTATTATTATTTATTCGGCATCAATATATACAAACAAACATACAGACTTGAACTACCATTTACTGTACACGAAATGGCAGTGTGTTCTAAAAAGACGACAGAAAAAAGGCCACTCAATCATGCCAAAGAGGGCGCAATATTTGCACTGGTTCCCAATCAAGGACTTGGAATTGTTACCAGGATAGGAAGTTGGCTGGTTTGACGTCTAACTTGAATAACTAATGTGTTTGGTATTGTTATACTAATGACCAGATAAGCACAATCTGCACATGCTCAGAAAACTAAAACTTTCCTTAGCCACCATCTTATCTTTTTGTTTGTTATGCACCACTGACTTAGCCTGTTTGTCATCACTTCAAGATGTCTACCGATTCGTGGAAAAGGCGTAATCTTAATGCACTATTTAGTTGATAACTTCATTATAATTTGTTTTGGGTCTTTTTTCTGCATTTTTATAAGCGGTTAGGCATGGCATGGAGGAAAGAAAATTAGAAGCCAGCTTCCTATTCTGGTATCAGATAAAAGTCATTGTCCCAATTATGAAAAGTTGTCCGTCCATTCGCAATCTCTACTGTGGATTTACCAAAGGTAGGCTTAGCACAGGGCTTAGCACTCAGTAGCTAAACCTTGCACAGAAATTGAGCGGGAAATTTTGACAGGGGACGGGCCAGGGACTTTGATCAATTTATGAATTGTTTTTCATTTTGTTTTAATGCATTTTACATTTTCAAAAGTAAAGTGCGTTTTTCATGCCTATGGGCTCATCGATTCATTGAAAAAAGTGTACGTATGCAACTATTTCTTTTTCTGTATGTATACACACATAAGGCCTATTTACTGTAAAAAGAATGAGAAAATTTACCTGACCGTTTTCAAGAGGGGAAAAACTTTGAATTTTGAAGAACTTGGAAGTTATTTAAAAAACACCTCAGAAGTCAGGAAAGCTCATTTCCCGACAAAATCCCCCCCCCTTCAAAACTTCTGACCCCCCCCCCCCCCTAAAAAATTGAACCCAGATCCGCATCTGTTTTCAAGCTATCTCTGAAATGTTAAATGTGTCGCATATTAATCATCAGTCTGTATTTCTCAATTCACGATATGAACTTGGACCAAAAACTAAACTGCCGGATTGGAAAGGCTGCCTCTACTTTCGCCCGTCTTTCTAAAAGTGTACCGTATATCTATTCGAATAAAGTAGCTACTGTATTCGAACAAAACTCATTGTGTATTAAGCCTGCATTCTAAGCGTCTGAATCACAAACGTGGGTTACATATCAAAAAGACAGGTTAACAGCTTCCACCTTCGCTGCATAAAGAGTATACTGTACTTGGAATTTGCTGGCAAGATGAAGTTACCAGCATCCTTGATGTCTTAGCACGCTGTGATTCAACAGCTTTAATCAGCATCCTAAAGCAAAGTCGACTACTTCGGTGGCTTTTTCATGTTGTTGGATGTCTGACAACTGTGTCCCAAAATGCATTTTGTATGGTGAACTTACAAATAGCCATCATGGAGTGGGTTAGACCAAGGCTAGGCATACGTTGAAAACATGTTGTAAAAGAGAAACCTAAGAGATTTTGGGATTGATATCGTACGTGGGAACCAGTTGCAGAAGAAAGAAGTGCATGGAGATGTCAACTTAAATATGGAATGAACATTGACATCAATAATTACAATTGGAGTCAGCAGGAAAAGAGGTGCAAACGTCACTAGCGTACAATTCCATCTCTGTGAACAGCAGCAAAAGAGAAACGAAATAAAACGAAATGGACAGATGACATTGTCGTCTTAGGAATTTTTGTGGCTATATAGCAATTAATTTAAAAGGCACTCCGTAACTAAAATACCTTGCATTACACAACTAGATAATGACATTTAGTATTGTGTACAAAATTACATATCTATTGCATTTAATTTTCTATATGTTATTAGTAACCCTTATGAATGGGTTTGATATGAAATGTATTTTTAACTGACTTGCATTGTTATATGTAATCATAATAAGTTGACATAGATATAAACTTAAAAGATTATTATTATATACTTAATGCAATAAAGAGTTACCGTACTGATACTTCCTGAAGTTTAATGGTGATGCATTGTCTCGTAGTTCTATACCGCTTTCCACAAAAAAAAAACAAAAAAAAAACATCTATTAGTTATCTATTTGTATTATTGTTATGCCCTATTCTTGAATAGTGCCTATCATTAGTGTTATTATGCTTTAGTATGAAGTTGTTTATACTACTATTATTGTTAATTCCATATGCACTGAGTTGATATAAGAGCTTTAACGCTCGGTAGAACTCGCTTGTGTGCCGCGGTGGTTGTGGCGATATCAGCCACATGAAGAGCGCCCTCTGGGAGAGGGCTGTGAGTAAGAGAAGATGAAGAAAAATAAAGATGCATTTCGAAATATCTACGATGGACGAGGACCTATGATAGACGTATTGAACTACTGGAATACGTGCGATAGGTAACATTGGAACGAGCATGGAAAGCGCCACTGAAACCATTCGAGCGTTTACAGTATATGTTTCCCGCAAGACTATTATGTGGTTAGCATGAGCTCTTGACTTGAAGTGACGTCCTTTCTCCGAGGGCTTCCCATGGTCGGCCGTTGAGTGCGCATGCCAGTTAATGCGCCAATCTGCGCAGATGAGCTAATCTTGGGAATGGGTGTCATTGCAGTGTGACCTCTAGAGGTCATCTCTACATTGGTTAAACTTTCCTGAAAGTTTTTGTTCACATCAGATTATCCGTTCTTAAATTATCTGGTGTGGAGTTTTTTCAAGTTAAATCGCTTTAATTAGTACTCACTTCCACAACCTACTCCGGATTGTCACTAACATCGCAGCACATCTTTGGTATATGATCTATGTTTGAGCATGGAAAATGTCGGGCAGAAAAAACACAACCTGTGCAAAAAGAGGAAAAACTATATGCAAAAAACATAAACAAAAACAATGGCTTTTCCTGCTACTGCTAGGAAAAGGCAATAATAATAATAATTATAATATACTACACGGTCGAAATATAAGCGATTTTCCACCCCCACACTTTTCCGGCCACCAATTTGATTAGTGACTGAACTGGAAACGATAGATCGTAACAAAGGAGATCGTTGTTTTCACTCATTGGTCAGATTCCCTTAAGGGCAAGAGAAATTGTTAAAAATGAACAGTCAGATATCTACATGCAGTATATGCTAAAAATGAGAAAATAAAAAATACTCAATTATGGTGCTGGCACACACTGATTGGCAGTGACAATGCCAATAACAATATTTAATTAAATATACAGGTATGTTGGAACCTCTTCTGGATTCTGTTCAGCCATGATGACGAATAAATAAAACAATTAAAGAGTGATTTTATTTCTACAAACTGTAACTTTATTTACTGATTCCGCACTCAACGTTAATGCTCAAGAGAGCAAGTTACACAGCTACAAGGTCAAGAGTCATATTTAGATTCTACCATGTTTTCATTAGGTGATAATCCTACACCCCACTTCATCTCATAATAACGATGGTAAATCATCACTGTAAACACTGTGCAGTAAAACAACATATACAAAGATCTTAGTGTTGAACTTTTTAATTTTAAACTTTGTAGCCGGTGGCACGGCTTTGATGGGCTACCATGTGCTCTGTTGGTCAATACTTTATGTCAAGTTTACCAGTTTCAAATGTGTTACGAATAAAATGATACTTAACATCAATGTGTTTTGTCTTTGTCTGAGTGCATTAGCCCATGTACTCCGGCTCGCAGGTGGATAATGCATCTGTAGATTCCCTTTTTTTATTTCCACGATAGTTCTCCGTCGGAAGAGAGGTTAAAACATTGAACAATACCCAGTGGTACTTTTTCGATCATCAACATTTGGAATCACGAAAGCATAAGTTTAGTGGAGAACTACTCTTTAGAAAAATTTTTAGTCTATTGTACCCTTTAAGTATACATGTTTGTTGTCACCATTATGTTCACCTCTAGTGTCAGAAAGATGCTGAACGGTTTACTCACCACTCACGAGATGTCTGGTCTGGTACTAGTTGCTGCATAAATTAGGCTACCAACAATTTCTCTATAATTTGGGATCAGTAGATTC